CATCCTTGGTTTGGGGGTGTGACAGATTGGTATCAAAGCACAGTTTATAGTGAATTAAGTATATCAAACCACATAAGATATACAAACTATAAACACATTTGGGACTAAAAGTCTCTGATTTTAGAACATTTTAACGGGTTATACTTTTAGAAAATAAATAATTTTCTCGTTTAAAAGTATACCTACATGCATTACATACTCGCGTAGTGTCATAACTAGAAGAACATAAAGTAAAAGAAGAGGATTTGTACACCATGAGTATGCCTTGGTATATGTGAATCAAGTCTGGGAGGGATATAGCCTGATAAACTATATATGTCCGAGGAGTGATTTACGTATATTAGGGGATAGTCATAGTGGGCAACAAATCTAATGACCTAACTTCACCCTACAAAGAACGCTTTAAGGACCAAATCTAAACATTTAAAATACTATAGGAGTATTTGTATGTTTGCTATAGCACAATATTATTATTATCAACCGTTGCATACTACTTACACCCCTATTCTCGTACAGACGACATGGCAGGATTTCACCTACCAGGGGACCCATACTTTCCCAATCAGGGAAATGCCGGATGGATTGAGGAAGAGCCCGAGCAACAAATCGAAGAAGATCCCGAAGAGGATCCCGAAGAGGAACCCGAAGAGGAACCTGAAGAGGAACCCAAAGAGGAACCCGAAGAAGAACAAGAAGAAGAGGGGAAAGATGAAGAAGAGGAAGAGGAAGACGTTGAGATAGTCAAGGTTGAGGACGAAAGTGAAGAAGAATCGGAAGTCTTCAACCCTCCTTACATCGCGAGGGTGCCCGCACACCGCTTTGGCTACAACGGGCCTGAGCCCCGTTGGGCAACAACGATCGAGAGGTGGAGCCGACAACAACGCCATCAGTCACCATATGGCAACTAGCGTGGTTACTAGGACCTCATCCACGGGGGACCGGCTGATAGAGCCTTCCCAGTCATGAGTCAACAGATAGCGATTATGGATGATCGCGGTAGGATGACGACCGATCAGGTTTGGGAGCTGAGTGCCATCATAGAGTCTACCACTGCTCGCACCAGGGACCTGGAACAAGACTCCCACTACAGAGACCAACTCATTCAGGACCTTCTTGCTGCTCGAGCAGAAACAAGGGAGTATCGGGAAAGATACAGGGCGCTCGAGGAGAGAATGGTTGAAACTGAACGGAGATTGGCAGAACTACAAGGTGCATCGACATCATCCCAAGCTCCACTGGGGAAGGATCATCGTGAGTAGGACTCATTACTGCTCACACATCTTCGTAGTATAGGTTTTCGAGCATGCGTTGGTGCTACTCTTTTGTATGTAGGTTGACCCTACGACTAAGTGATTACACTATTCAAAGGGCTTTTGTGTTGTCAAAACTATCCTTTGCATTGATGTAATGAAGACCCTGGTGAGGTCAAATTTTCTGAAAACAATATGTACTAAAAAGTTATCAATGAAATTGGCATGCATTTTGATTCATTGGATGTTGACATGAGATTTTACTATGTGGTATTACAAACAATTTACAACTGATAACTCTAAGATTTTTAAGTGTACCTCGTTGTTGTGTGTAATTAAAGCAGTAATCGACCTAGAAATGGCGAGTCCGCTTTAGGATCTATTCCTTGTTTGGTTGTGGACGTAGGGCAAACTCATTAGTATCAACAGTTTATTAAAATTTTAATTACGCATAATTGAGGCACATCGAGCGAATCTTAGGAGTGAGTCAGACACGGAACCAAGCACATGACCCCGTTTGAGTCACCACTATTTAATTCACAAGTTTAATTGCATAAACTTTTATATGAATTACTTGCTAACGTAATAAAGTCGGGATATAATACAAATGAGATAAAACAAGTAACACTCGACTCGTTATTGCTATTGAAGTCTTACCGACTTGTCATTTTAAAACTTATGACAGAACTATGCCACCAAAGAAAAGACCAAGACCTTCCAGCAGCGCAGCACCACTACCTCCGCCGCCACCACCACAATTTGATCCAGAAATGTTCCAGGCTGCAGTAACAGCAGGTGTGGCGGCAACTATGTCGCAAATCGGCACCAATGGCAATGGTGGATCTGGATATGGTGCTACATCCTCTAACCAGGGTGACAGTTCGGGGCGCACAAAAGAATGCACCTACAAGGATTTCACAAACGGAAAACCCGATACATTCAATGGGAGCGGGAGTGTCATCACGCTGATGCAATGGTTCGAAAGGACCGAAGCAATCTTTGAGATTTGTGCTTGTCCTAAAGCGAGCAAGGTCAAGTATGCAACATTCACTTTCACAGGCAAGGCTCTCATTTGGTGAAATGGCCGAGTTAAATCACTTACCCTCGCGGTGGCTAACTCCATAAGCTGGGAAGAATTGAAAACATTGATGTTAAAGGAGTATTGCCCGAGGGGAAAGATACAAAAACTCGAAGAAGAACTCTGGAACCTCAGAATGTCAGGCACAGATCTTGAAACCTACACTTCCCGGTTCAATGACCTAGCACTCCTCAGTCCAACAATGGACACTTCAGAGGGGAAAAAGGTGGAACGATATCTCTGGGGACTGTCATCCCAGATTTAAGATAGTGTACTGGCCTCGAAACCCGCTACCTTCGAAAGTGCCAAGGAATTAGCACAACAACTCATCGATCATAAGGCCAGCCGTGGTACCGTGACCGCCACCACCGACCAAGCAAAAGGAGGGAACAACAAGAGGAAGTTCTGGGATAATAAAAAGAAGCAACCGGCACAGGATCCCGCGAAGAAGAAATAGATTGTGGTTGTTCGTGTTGCCACTACTGCTACCACTCCAGCATCACCGAAACAATATGTTGGAACCCTCCCTAAGTGCAACAAATGAAACTTCCACCACACTGGTGCTTGTTGGGGAAATGCACTGCAAAAACTACAACAGGAAGGGGCATACAGTTCGTTTCTGTAAAGCGCCTGCGCGACCGATCAATCAAGTTGCCAACGCAGGGGCAAGCCAAACCTGCTATGGATGTGGTGATGCAAGGCACTTCAAGAGGAACTGCCCTAAGGCACAAGCCCCTAATACTGGAGGTGTAGGGAGAGTCCTGGCAATAGGACATGGGGAAGCAGTCAAAGATCCTATAGTGGTTACCGGTACGTTTCTCCTTAATAACTCTTATGCATGCATACTATTTGATAGTGGAGCGGAGAGGAGTTTCGTGAGCCACCAATTCAAACAATTACTAAAACAAAACCCCCAGTCATTAAAAGATTCATACATCGTCGAAATGGCAAACGGAAAGGTTGAACGCACTAATGATATATACATAGGGTGTACCCTCACTCTATATAACCACTCGTTCAAAATCGATCTAATGCCAGTCACCATAAAAAGTTTCGACATCATCATTGGTATGGATTGGTTAAGTTTTCATCGTGCCGACATTCTATGTTACGAAAGGGTCGTTCGCCTTAATCTTCCAAATGGCGAAATCCTTCTCATCTATGGCGATAAACCCAGTACAAATTTGCAAATCCTCTCTTGCGTCAAAGCCCAAAAGTATCTCCGAAAGGAATACCACACATTCTTAGCCCACATCGTAGATAAGAAACAAGAGGTGAAGGACATCAAAGACATTCCAGAAGTATGCAACTTCCATGACGTATTCCCATAAGACCTGCCACGTATACCACTCGCACGACAAGTCGAATTCCGAATCGACTTAATTCCCGGAGCTACCCCCGTTACCAAAGCTCCATACCGTCTAGCACCAACAGAAATGAAAGAAATGTCCAACTAGTTGAATGAACTGTTGAGCAAAGGGTTCATAAGACCGAGCTTTTCACCCTAGGGAGCACCAGTCCTTTTTGTAAAGAAGAAGTACGAATCATTTCGCATGTGCATCGACTGTCGAGAATTAAACAAACTTACCATCAAGAACCGATATCCCCTACCCGGAATCGACGACCTTTTCGACCAACTTCAAGGAGCAAGTTACTCTTCAAAAATCGACTTGAGGTCGGGTTATCATCAGCTGTGAGTTCAAGAAGAAGATATCCCCAAGACGGCATTCAGAACTCGCTATGGACACTACGAGTTTGTAGTGATGTCATTCGGATTAACGAACGTGCATGTAGTGTTCATGGATCTAATGAACCGAGTATGTCGACCCTTCTTAGATAAATTTGTGATCGTGTTCATCGATGATATCTTGGTCTATTCAAGGAGCGAAGAAGAGCACAGGCAACACCTGCGACTAGTACTGGAGACTCTAAGAGCCGAGAAGCTTTATGCTAATTTTTAGAAGTGTGAATTTTGGCTCTGAGAAGTGGGATTACTTGGCCACGTGGTTATCAAGAAAGGAATACACGTGGATCCCTCAAAAATCAAGGCAATCGAAAACTGGTTAGCACCTACAACGCCAACAAAAATCCGACAAATTTTGGGACTCGCAGGCTACTACCGAAGGTTCATACAGAACTTCTCCAAGATTGCTAAACCCCTTACCACTTTAACCCAGAAAGGTGTGGTGTTCAAGTGGGAAGATAAACAAGAAGCCGCCTTCCAAACGTTAAAACAAGCCCTATGCAGCACGCCGATCTTGTCTCTTCTAGAAGGAACTGATGACTTCGTGGTGTATTGCGATGCTTTAAATCAAGGTCTCGAATGTGTGCTCATGCAGAGAGGGAAGGTTATCGCTTACGCGTCAAGGAAACTTAAGACCCACGAAGTTAATTATACTACCAACGACCTCGAATTGGGAGCAGTAGTGTTCGCCTTAAAGATTTGGAGACACTACCTTTATGACACAAAGTGCACCATCTTCACCGATCACAAAATACTTCAGCATATTCTCAATCAAAAAGAGCTCAACATGCAACAAAGAAGATGGGTAGAGCTGCTGAACGACTACGAGTGTGAAATCCACTGTCATCCGGGCAAGGCCAATGTGGTAGCCGATACCCTAAGCAGAAATTGTGGTTCGTGTAGTGGTTATTTTTCGTGTAGGAAATCCATGTCCACATCTATGAAGCGCTCGGCTGCTACTCGAGGCAAAGCCCTGACTAGAAATCAAAATGATGCCCCCGATATTCCAAGATTTCGGGATGCCAATGCAGTCGAAAACTACACAAAGAGCTTGCCTAGAAAAGTTGCATCCACCAAATTCGTGTGCAAGCCCACGCTTATATCACTAGGGGTTCTTGAGGGGGTCACCCAATTATTCTGTAACATTTGGTGGGAAAACCTTCTCAACCTCATGGCGCACACTTACGAGCTCCCCACAAGAGAGTTTCTTGCCGATTGCGGGTACGACAGCGAAAAAAGAAAAGTCGCATTCCAACTTCTAGGGCACCGAAGGTACATCGATTTTGCGACGATCAACGACATTTTGGGCTTACCTTCTTCAGACACATCCACAGTTTTCGATGTCCTACCTATCGAATTCAATCACGAGACTTTTTGGACGGAAATCACCGGGGGTATCTTTTTGTGTGTCGGTCTGGATAAAGCAACCTCTATCATCCACCCATGCCTCCGCATTGCCCATCACATCTTGGTGTGCATGGTTTTTGCCCGCAAAGAAGCGGGCCAGGTCACCAAAAATGAGCTCTTCTTCCTTTGGTGTATGACGAGGTGTGAAAGGCCACCAATCCCAGACTTTGCTTCATTCTTTTTCCACAAATGCACACACATGATATCTAAGACGTCCGGTGATATTTGCATTGGGGGATTTGTCACACTTTTGGCTCGTGGTCTTGACATCGAGCTCCCTAACGAATGCTAGCTTGTTGACAGCAAGAATCTTTTGGATGAGCGCGCCCTCATAAACATGCACCACATCCGTCGCAGGAACAGGAGTAGCTTCACATGGTATTGTCCTCAAGGGGTTGGGTATCTCGTTCTTCCCGACCCTCGAGTCACCAACTTCACCTTCCACGATCGCACTCAGTGGTGACTCATGAGGACCATCACTCAGTCAGTCAATGAGGATGTGCTCCAGGATCAAGATGATGACGAGATGCATATGGATGACGAGCCGGGCGATGTGCCCACCCATGGTCCACAACACGCCCAGCCACAAGCCCCTCCCAGGTACTACCCACTTCCCCCCCCCCCCCAATTTTTCCGAGCGGTTCGAGTCTCTTTGTGTCTCAAACCAAATTATGTCCCAGCAAATGCACCATATGTGGGGGTGGCACCAATCCCAAAACCTTTTTGAGCATCTCCCACTTCCGCCTCCTTATCCATACCCTCCACCCACGCATCCTTATCCACCTCCACCTTACCCTTACCCTTACCCTTACCCCCAATACCCGTATCCTCCTCCCGATCCCCCGGTTTAGGTACTTTTGCCTCGCCCCGAGCATTGAGGACAATGCTTATTTCTAAGCTTGGGGTGGGGTATTCCTTTTTCTTTTTAATTTATCATGCATTTTAATTAGGTTGCATGGCATTTTAGTATAAATTGCATTCATAAAACAACAACAAAAAATTAAAAACTAAAGATAAAAAAGATTTTATTTTCTTCTTTTTCATCTTTTATTTTTGAATGACATTTAGCTTAGGGCATTAGCATTCATGCATTTTTCTTTTCTGTTTATTCTCACCTCTCTTGGATGCCATGGAACAGGTTCATAGTTATTGTATCATTATTGCTCCAAGATCTTATCGCTATCTCACCCATCGAACCGGGACCACTAGCTGCAGTTTGGGATTTGATACTTGGGATCAGATGCTGGTAGCTTAAAGGGGTAAGTGATCATGATCAGGTAGTTTCATGAAGAAATATGCATACAATACTAACGACTGTGGGAAATACCATATGTAACGCCTGCGTTTCCAGGCTAGGCATTATTATTGATGTAATAGTCAAGGTTAACCATTGTAACTCTTTTTGAAGTATTAATGATGAAATATTTGACTATTATGTGAATTATGTGTTTATTTTCTTAATTATTATAATTTAATGAATTAAGAATAAAATAAGCCTCAAATTTGAAGTGTGCGATAATCCCAATATCTTTGCATAAAGATGTAGTGGTCGAAACAAGGATTCCGAAGATATAAAGAATGTCAAAATCCGATTTATAACGAAGAAGTTATGACCTGTCGAAGTTTCGCGACAGAACCGACAACGCTGAATGACATAAAAAGTGAAATTTACGTTAGAGCGATATTTAGCCTTAGTGATCTAAACGAAGGTTGTAGATTTCGTTAAACCGAGAGCGTGCATAAAAAGAACGCCAAAATCTGACTTCGTATGAGGAAGTTATGATTTTTCGAAGTTTCAACTTAGTAGTATGCAGCCCGAATACTCGATTGAAGATCAAGCGGTTTTTAGCCGAAACAATCTAAATGAGAATCGAAGGTCTCATTAATAGTAGTAAAACGGTAAAAAGATAGGCGTAAACGGACGTCGGATGAAGAAGTTATGAATTTATAACGAAGTTTTCCTGTCCCGGCCTACTAAAAATAAATAATAAATATAAAATCAAAATTAGCCGACTGAGTCTAAACAAAAGTTGTAGATCGTAGTCTCACCTACGCGCGGATATAAAGAACGTCGAAAACGGAGTTCGTATGAAGAAGATATGAATTTTTGAAGTTTATTAAATATTTTCGATATTTAATTTAAATATATATTAACCGATATTATCCATGGAGGGAATCAGCAACCCTATCGTCATTACGCCCAGCGTAATTTGAAGTTCCAGCCCATATAAAAGGAGGTCGAGGGCAACCGAGTTCATTGCTCATTTCTTCCCTTTTTCTTGTGTTTTTGCATCGTTTTTCGTGCAAGAATTATCTCGAAGCCCCGGTATCATTCCCGAGCCCAGAAGCAAGTCCCGAAGTCCCGAAGATCCCGAGAAGTGCAATTCCCGAGCCGAAGCTCTGCCCGCGAGGAGTCCGGTTTTTGTGAAGATCTTTCAGATCTACCGAAGAATACTACTTCTACAAGCCGTAGTGCTATCCGATCATCTTCTAATCAAGTGAGTGTGTGGTTACTTTCTTCTAACGCATAATTATGAAGTATTTTATATGAAATACGTGTTATGTGTATATTTTGTTGTTATATGCGTGAATGTATATTCACTTTCTTCTATCTCATAGATATGATTTATTCTTTATGAAATACGTGTTATGTGTATGTGTCTCATCTGTTGTTTGGAATATGTATTGAATGAGAATGTTATACAGGTTTTAAACTATGTATAAAAATATATATTTTTATCTACTAATATGTTGGGTAGAACATGGGTAGATAGTTGTGTGATAAACAGATGAGAGGCCTCAATGTTGTTTTTGATGCAGTCATCTAGCGGAGTTTAGATGATGACCACAGACTTTTCTAGACAGTCCTGTGGAACGCTAGCAGGTTCACCACCTGTAGGTGTTAATGAAATTGGGTGTTCATTCGTTGTACTCCATCCCCCTCATGGTTGCCTTATTTGACATATATTACCGGGAAACCCCCGAATGCATGTGTTGTCGCCCCGATGAAATATTCTAAGACTAGGTCCCTTGTGTTAGTTGTTTTAGGGACGTAAAGTGAGAATAACGGGAATGGGTAATTGGGTTATTGTTGATTGGTGGAATTAAATATAATTATTTATTGTGGGTTGAAAACCCTATATGCTCACCAGGCTCCCAAGCCTGACCCACTCAGTTTTATTTGTATTACAGGAAGTGGCGCAAGGGCATAAGATGGATGAATCATCAAGTTGTTTTGTTTACAAGTCTGTATATGTATATATTTGTTGAATGACTTGTAATGTTATCGTTTATGCTTTATGGTCTGTATCGAAACATGACATCCCGAGTTTTGATTATATAATGAAAATACATTTCTTTTATGAAATGCTTTGGTAAATATTATTTTATCACGTTTTGTTTTTAGGAACAAATTCCGCAACTCTTTCAAATCAAAAGGATTTACTCTGAAATTATTTTAAAAACATAAATGAAAATCGGTCTTTTCTGGCCGAGATTTTGGGGACGTCACAGTTGGTATCGGAGCATTAGTTTAAGTGAACTAGGAATTTGTAGGATTTCTAGACTTAAACTTAAAATGCTAAGTGAAATTTTGAGATGTGTGTATGTTATGTTTTAGACACGAGCACTAGTTTATTTTAGGAAAATTGCCTAAAATGCTTTTATGTGCTAAATGTTATATGTTGCCATATATGATATTATTTGTTCGGATCTATGGTCTGTTGCCGACCGGATCTAGAAACCTTATGTGTGTAGGATTCTAAGTGTACGTCTTCGATATTAGAACTAGCATGTAAACTTTTCAGAGTGATAAGGATGATTTGAATATCTATCGTGAATGAGGATCTAATTTCACCTTATTTGGTGTGTAGATAAAAAATGGTGAGAATGAGGAGTAGAGTTGGAAATGCTGTGAAATCAGGAATCAACCACTAGTGATTGAACAATTACCTGTTGTAGCTGCAGCACCAGAGCCAATAACAATGGCTGGTGTACAAATAATGATTCAAACAATGTTGGATCGTCAAATGGAGGAGACTAGGCGGTTGCTTCAACAGAATCATGAAGAACTGTCAATTCACGTGGAAGAGCCCGAATTAAATGAATGGCACTCAGAAGGTGGAAACTTCAGTGGGTCTGTTAGTCAAGCCAACCCACCGATAGTTAGGCAAAACAACCATGATGGAATGGGATGCAAGTACAAGGACTTTCTAACTTGCAAACCATCGACCTTCACTGGAAAGGAGGACCCGATCGGAGTGATGGATTGGATCTTCGAAATGGAGTTAGCCTTCATGTATTGTGGCTGTAGAGGCAAGTTGCAGACTACCTATGTAGTGTGTCAGTTCCGAGGTGGATCCGTTCGTTGGTGTAACACTCTAGGGAAGACTTTAAGTCCTAATGAGCCACTGCAATTGACATGGGAAGAATTCTTGGTGCAGTTCAAGTGCAAGTTCTGCTCGGCTCAAAATCTGTTGGAATTGGAGAATAAGTTTCTCACATTGACGAAAGGCAGCATGTCAGTTGATGAATACACTAATAACTTTACAGACAAGATGGAGTTTGCCTTGCGCATCGTTCCAGATGAGCTGACAAAGGTTGACCGGTACGCAAAGGGACTCTCATGGGAGTACGCAGTGCCAGTTCGTCAGGCACCTACTCTAGAGGCGGATATTGGGCTGCCAAGTCTGTGAGGACATGATCAAGGGAAGATCCGACAACAAGGTTGAAGTTGGCAAGAAGAGAAAGTTTGAAGTAACTTCAGGTTCCAATAAGAAAAGCAGATTTTCAAAGTCTGATTCGAAAAAGTTTGGAGGAAAAGGAGGCAAAGCGAAATGGTGTGATAAGTGTAAGAAAAAGCACTTTGGGAAATGTAATGAGGATGTAACCTGCTACAAGTGTGGAAAAATTGGGCATTTTGCCAATGAGTGTCCGTCCAACAAAAGGATGTGTTTTGGTTGTAATGAAGAGAGGCACATTTTGAGAGACTATCCGAAGAAGAAGGAGGCATCTAAGCCCAACATTCCACCAAATCCGAAGGCGAGAGCCTTCCAAATGACACTTGAGGCTACTAAAGATGAAGCTGATATCGCTTCAGGTACCTTTCTCATAAACGAATTCCTTGCTCAAATTTTGTTTGATTCTGGAGCCAACTACTCCTTTATTTCGCATGAGTTCGGTAGAAAACTAGCTTTGCCTATTGATAGACTAGATAATGCTTTATTGGTTGAAGTTGCTAGTGGCAAGTTTGTACCTGTTACCCATCGTATGAAAAACATCTTAATCGACCTT